TTGTACAATACATATGGTTACAATCCTGTTAAGTTTGTTATTGTACAACGTCAACAGTATGCTATATATCGATACTATAATTRTGGCCCTACGTTCGGTKSTGGMCATGACATGTRTATWTCTAACCATGCATCAGGAAGMASCRATAGTWATTTTYRKYCGYACGATTRCACCATCCCGCCTGGCTGTAGCTACRGTAACTATTGCTCGTTCTACACAGGTAACGGTCGATTTACACCKAGTGACATCGAGGTTTTCTATGAAACCACCAACTAGCTATACAAAAACAAACGGTGAAAAAGGTTTAGAGTATTATATTTTTTCTATAGATAGTCCTGGAGGCCAGGTCTTAGCTTAAATGTATTTTCAATAAAATGAAAATGAAATATTGAGTTTTCAGGAAATAGTAGGCGTGCTCTAGGCGTGTATCTAGAAAACCTATCAATGACAATAGTAACCGGTAAATTTTATAAAGTATGTATGACCCGCGTTCTAACCTGATAAAAAATTAATATAAATACTGGCCATTTACGTAGGATTATTAGTCTGCCAATCTGTATTTAGTGTTAATTGCATGGTTAATTGAGTTTTTGAGAATAATAAATATTGTAATTTTTCTTGGTTGATTATGTCGCATGTATTGTTCTAACGAGCCTTAGAAACAAGAATGTACAAGACATCGGCATCATATTTGTGCCATGAAGTGGATTACTAAAAAATACTTCATGGTCAAACTGAAAAAAACTATTCATTTGATTTAAAATATATAGTATGCTCTCCTTTATACTAAAGCGTAATTTGTGTACCTTTTTCAATACTTCATTTTCAGTATTCTCTAAGAAAATTTAGTGTATCTTGAATTAATAATACAGGCTAAAGAAAGTTTAACCTCAATTAGCAAAATATTCTCATATTATATGTAACTTTAGGGTTAAATAAAAATTAGCATAGATCAAAAATACAAAAAAAAAAAATATGTAAAAAGGATAAATTCCATTAGTACGCCAATGAGAGCATGACAAGAGAATATGTGCGCTGTATTAGTTGCGTAACCCTTTCAAAAAGGTTGAAATTCCCGGGTTTAATATTCTAATTCTACTAACTGTGTGCATTAGATAAATACATAAATGAGAAGACGCATAAAAAAGCCAAACCAAAACAAACTCGTTTTAAATCAAATGATGGCTTAATTACATTGCTAAACGAACTAAATCAAAATCAGCAAAACTAAAGAAAAGTAAATAAATAGTAATAAATAAAAAATAGTAAATAAAAGTAATAAATAAAATAACAGGATTAACGTGATGATTTCTWGTGTAATTCCTTATTTCATTATGACGTTACATTATGTTTACATCGAAAACGATGCTCAAAAATAGTCGAAATATAGAAGAATTGATATTTTATCCTAAAGTAGAACTTCGACGAATCGCAGCCCTTCCGGCGACATTAGTTCTTAKCGATAAAACAAAGAATATTGCGATGAAACGAATGGCATTTATGATAATTTCCCCTAAAGGCAGTAAATACTTTTAAGACCTTTAACATGCAAACTATTGTCATGCATTGGGACTAGTTGACCTTATGTTGTGCTAACATTCTTAAAGACKGAARTCTAACGTGTATGTTCCGTACTGTGTAATTTACAGGCAAATGCAACATTTCATTGAAATGGATTCTTTAATTGCATGAATCATTCATTGTCTTAAACTTTTTAAAGTTTTAAAAAGTTGTAAGATTATGCGAAAACGTATTTTCATCTGTAACAAAGGAACTATTATTTCAAAAAATCTCTCAACTGTAGACAGATTTTTATCTTAAATTCCATGCTTTTGGTAACGTAAGGTATATGCATTAAATGATGGACTTCCTAATTCTCTTTGCGCTTATTAAAAATATATATTTCTCGATAAAGGAGAATTGAACTTTGGATCAATTTGCCTTGATCAGATATCAAATTCTTACTTACTGTTTTGGTAAAACGATTAAGCTAAAGTTCGAAGAAAACACGATTTGATCAAATATGTTTAAAGCCAAGACAGTCACTATGTAAGGGCGTTACTACGAGGTACTGTTTCAGTTGCTACAAGTCGTCGTGACGAGTG